GAGCTTGAGTGGGGGCTTCCTGTCTTGCAGACAGAAAGGGGTTGGACTGGATGACCTTTGGGGGTCCCTTCCGTCTCTCGTGGAATATAGAGTATGTAGAAGCCCAATGCAGCCTCTGTCTGAAGGGTTTTAAGCAAAGCTGGTGCAACTATCTGTCAGGAGGGGTCAGATTGTGTTTCCTTGCCTGGCAGGAAGAAGGGGGCTGGACCGGATGGCCTTTGGGGTCCCTACAAACACTAGTGGAATCTGCTTCTCCGTGGGGGTTCGGAGGGTTGGACTGGATGGACTTTTGGGGCTCTTTCCAGCTCTTTTGGGGGTATAGACTGAAGGGAGGGATCCATGTCTTTCTTTATGGAGGAAGGAGACTGGATGATCTTTGGGGGTCCCTTCCAACTCTAGCGGAATATTGACTATCTCAGGGTCTAGTGGAGCCTCCGTTCTTGAAGAAGTCTTAGCAGAGACTTCATGGCCATCTGTCGGGAGGGGTTAGATTGGGTCTTCCTGCCTGGAAGACAGGAAAGGGTTGGACTGGATAGTCTTTGGGGATCCCTTCTAAGTCTAGAGGGACATAGGCCTGGGAATCTGGCTGAGCCTCCTTCCCTGAAGGGTTTTAAGCAGAGGGTGGAAGGCCGTCTGTTGGGAGGGATCTGTGCCTTCCTTGATGGAGGAAGGAGACTGGATGGCCTTTGGGAGTCCCTTCCATCTCTGGTTGAATATAAACTATGTAGAAGCCCAATGCAACCTCTGTCTGAAGGATTTTCAGCAGAGGCTGTGTGACTATCTGTCAGGAGGGGTCAGATTGTGTTTTCCTTCCTAGTAGGAAGAAGGAGGCTGGACTGGATGGCCTTTGGGTGTCCCTTTCATCTCTGGTTGAACATAAACCATGTAGAAGTCCAATGGAGCCTCTGTCTGAAGGATTTTCAGCAGAGGCTGTGCGACCATCTGTCAGGAGAGGTCAGATTGTGTTTCCCTGCCTGGCAGGCAGAAGGGGGCTGGACTGGATGACCTTTGGGGGTCCCTTCCATCTCTAATTGAATATAAACCATGTAGAAGTCCAATGGAGCCTCTGTCTGAAGGAGGCTGTGCGACCATCTGTCAGGAGGGGTCAAATTGTGTTTTCCTTCCTGGTAGGAAGAAGGGGGCTAGACTAGATGGCCTTTGGAGGCACCTTCCATCTCTTGTGGAATATAGACTATATAGAAGCCCAATTCAACCTCTGAATGAAGGATTTTCAGCAGAGGCTGTGCAACCATCTGTCAGGAGGGATCAGATTGTGTTTTCCTGCCTGGCGGGAAGAAGGGGGCTGGACTGGATGGCCTTTGGTGAACCCTTCCAAACATAGCAGAATACTAACTATCTCGGAGTCCGGTGGAGCCTAATTCTGTGACGGTCTCTAAGCAGAGGCTGGATGGCCCTCTGTCGGGAGGGGTTGGACTGGGTGGTCTCTTGGGGTCTCTTCCAGCACTAGGACCCTCCTCGTCCAGCTGTCCAGATAGAATGGCTGGTGGTGGAGCATCTCTATTGAGGCCGGAGGGCCACTTGTTGGGTTTCAGTTGGGGTTGGACTGGATGCCCTTTGGGAACTCCTTCCAAACTGACCAGAAGTGGGAGGGGGAGGTCTGGACTTTGGAGAGCTTGGAGGTCAGGGTCCCTGGTGAGCCCCCCCTTGTGACCTTTAACCCCTCGTCACTACTCCCCCCCCCTCCCCCTTGTTTTTGCAGTGCCGTCTGGAGGGCACCTGGGTCAACGAGCTGGGCTCCCGGATGTCCATCTCGGCGCTGGACAAGGAGGGCCGCTTCTCGGGCTCCTACTTGACCGGCGTGTCCGCCTCGCAGAACCCCATCCGCACCTCCGGTCTCAGTGGGGCCCAGCAACAGGGACCCCAGCCCACCTTCGGCTTCACTGTCCAGTGGAGCTTCTCAGGTACTCCCCTTCAGGCCCTTGATTGGTCAAATACGCTCTTGCCAATGTAGTATTTTCTGTTGGTCATGGGGGTTCTGTGTGGGAAGTTTGCCCCAATTCTGTCATTGGTGGAGTTCAAAATGCTCTTTGATTGTAGGTGAACTATAAATCCCAGCAACTACAACTCCCAAATGTCAAGGTCTATTTCCCCCAAGCTCCATCTGTGTTCCTAGTTGGGCATATGGAATATTGGTGCCAAGTTTGGTCCAGATCCATCATTGTTTGAGTCCAGAGTGATCTCTGGATGTAGGTGAACTACAACTCCCCAACTCAAGGTCAATGCCCACCAGACCCTTCTAGTGTTTTCTGTTGGTCATGGGAGTTCTGTGTGCCAAGTTTGGTTCAATTCCATCATTGGTGGAGTTCAGAATGCTCTTTGATTGTAGGTGAACTATAAATCCCAAGAACTACAACTCCCAAATGACAAAATCAAAAAATTTTGAGTGATGGACATACATTGGGTTGTTAGGTGTCTTGTGTCCAAACTTGGTGTCAATTCGCCCACTGGTTTTTGAGTTCTGTTAATCCCACAAACGAACATTACATTTATATTTATATTATTTATATTTATAT